TGGTGAGGGTGGGGGGGACGGGAACGGGGGAAACTGGGGAAGATGGGGGTGCTGGAGGAGAGGGGTAGGGACCGAGGAGCACCTCGGCCGTCTGGAGTCTGGCGAGGGTGGTGAAGGTGGAAGAGCTAGCTCGGGCAGGTCGGTCAGGTCTGGGAGCCAGGAGGAGTGTGGAGAAGGCTCCCAGGCATCGTGGAGGCAGGGTGACATCGGCGTGGGACTGCCAGCCCGAGTTAGGGTTGGAGAGGAAGAAGGAGCCAGACATTCATCCCGGTCAATTTTGGTTACAGGACGTGGTGGCTGGTCGGACAAGGGGGAGCTGCTGGTCAGGGTTCGACCCCCAGGCCTGGGTGGAGGAGTAGCTGGCAGAAATGGGCAGGTGAGGGCTGCGTCTGCTGGGCAGGTGAGTTCACTTCACCTCTCTGGACCTCGCTTCACAGGCTTCTAGAAGAAGGAGGTTTAGGGAGCGAGGGCCAGTGAGGAGAAGTGGCAGGCCTCCTGCAAAGCAGCAGGGCGAGGGCAGGACAGTTAGCAAAGGTGACATCTTCTCGGGGGGAGCCGAGATGGAGCAAAGCTGGGGGCCATAGGCCTTTCCGGGGGGAAAGAGCAAATCTAGAGGGCAGAGTGGAAAGAATGCAGGGATGCCAGCAAGGGCCAAGACTGCTGTCTCTAGGGAGGTGACCTTGGAGACAGTGGAGGCCACAGGGATCCAACACGTGTGGGAGCATTCTAGGCCCAGGTCAGATATCAGAGTGGGGTCACAGAACACAGAGAGGTCCCCAGCCACCACCACATCCCACCCACCGCAATTCACTTAGGAGCAGGTATAGGAGCCGCTCTGGCAGGGCCTTTCAAGACCTGCGCCAGAGCCTCGAGGGCTGGAGAGCGGTAAAGAAGGGCAGTGCAGCAGGATATCATCGGGAGGAACAGTGGCTGCGGGTGGTGGGCTCCAGAGAGATTTCGCAGCAAGGAGGCTGTGGTGGGCCCGGCCTGTGGATACAGTTCCTACGCAGCACTGCGGCCCAGGGCCTGGCGCGGAGAGGGCCCACAGTGATCTTGGTGACGCTGTATGCCTTAACCGCTCAGCCCCTGGGTCTGGCATGACAGACAGAACAGCAACAGGGGAGCCAAGGGCACAAGGCAAGGCCAGACTAGGTGAGGAGGGTGGGGCGGAGTGAGTGAGGTGCTCTCAGGAGGGAGGTTGGGTGCTGCAGGCAGGGTTAGGCTCAACAGCCGGATGGCGAGCCAGCGAGGCACTGGCCTCCAGAGCCTATGGCCATGGTGGGCCTTGTGCGTGATGACGGAGCAGTGATCGGTGCCTCTGCACTCGGACTGGAGATGAGGGTGAGTGTCCAACCTGCCAGCCTTCCCCCTCCTCACCCACCCTTGCCCACCTAACCAGTACCTCTCTGTTGTCCCTACAGCCAGGTCTCCAGAAGGGCGGAGGTGCCCGCCAGCCGGAAGGCCAGGATGCAGGTGTGGCAGATGTGCAGAGAGGGATATGGTCCGGTGTGATGGTGAGGCCAGAGGGACTGCCGTCTGACCTTCCCGGTGAGTGTGTGTTCTGTCCAGTAGCCATCTCAACCACCTAGCCATCCTCCCACTCACCCTGCTCTGTCCTCTGCAGAACATTCTGGGCTGGCAATGCGGAGACACTTCCACGAGGTCTGTTCCTTTGCTTTTCCAAAAGAGCTGCCACTGCTGCTCTCTGGACCCCCAGAACCCTCAAGATGAAAGGTGAGGTGCTTGTTGCCACACATCAGTAGGGAAACAGGGCGGGGGGCCGGAGCCAGGACTCACTCTCTTCCCACCTGCAGAAATGGTGCTACCCAGCTCATGCCTGGGACTTGGAATCAGGGACTTCTTCAAGTCCATCTAGCTCTGGATCAAGAATATGCTGCATCCAGAAACCACTACTCTACATGACTCAGGAATTGGCTCTGGAAGGTGAGGCTGGCCACTTTTGGAGGATTTGTCCCACCTTACCCTGTCTCCCCAGCCCCTGCCCATGTGTCACTGAACTCTCTGCAGGTAGAGCTGAAGGAACAGGCCTCAGGAACACCACGGAAGCGCAGACCCGCGGCACCCCCCACCCCGGCAACTCCCACCTTCATGGCCAGCCCCTGCCGCATTCGGGAGACCACCGCCCCACGTGCCATCCCGGAGCTGAGCCTCCTCCCTGGGATGGCCCCATCACCACCACCATCGCCTCCCTCCTCTCTTCTGTTTCAGCCTTTTCTCTTCTTATCATTTCTCATCTTTCTTCTTTCCATTTCTTGAGAGATTCAAAGCATCCATGACTCTGTTTCCTTACTTATCCCCTTTTGAATTCAATTTGCACTAAGTCAATTGCACTGGCTGGAGTTCTGGAGATAGCCTTGAGTCTCTCCGTGTGTGTGTGTGTGTGTGTGTGTGTGTGTGTGTGTGTGTGCACCTCTTTGGCCACCCCACCTCAGTGCCTGCCTGTCCATCCACCTCTGGGGGCAACTGGGTGTGGGCTGTGTGCGTGAGGTCTCACCTTCCCCTCACCTAGTCTGGAAGCTCCACACCAGCGGAGCAATCTCTTAAGCATTCCGTGACACTCATCTTGCCTTGTGTCCCTCCCCACCAGGGCCTCACCAGAAGCTCTGGATCCACAATAAATACAGTTACAGTACTTTGTCTCAGAACTGAAATTTGTGCTGCCTGACCAGAGGTGTACCACAGGATAGGGGGAAAAGAGGATGCTGGAGGAGAGGGGAGATGTGAAAAGGGCATGTGGGCAGAGAAGGGACATGGGCTGGGGAGGGACATAAAACGGGGTGGGGATAAAGGGTGGACTATGGAAAAGAGGATGCTGGAGGAGAGGGGAGATGTGAAAAGGGCATGTGGGCAGAGAAGGGACATGGGCTGGGGAGGGACATAAAACGGGGTGGGGATAAATGGGGTGGACTACACAGGGGGAAGGGATTATGAGGTTATGGAGCAGAAATGGTCACAAAGTTGGGGGGTGCTTTCGGCATGGGGGGGGCTGTGAGTGATGTAGACATGAAGGGTGGAGGGAAACAAAGGCTGTGTGGGACCAGGGGCCTCCTGCAGGGGGGTGGCTGGCATGAGAAATTACACCCTAGGCTATGAGACAGAGGTCTGTTCCCTACCAAGTGCCTCTGGGCTCCATGCTGGTATCTGATTGCCCCCTTAACCCCAGATGCTGGGCCCAGAACCTGAAGGCCAGTCCAGGTGGGCACAATCATTTTACAGGCAGGGAGTTCACAGGTGGAAACTGTGGGGCTTATGGGGGTGTCGGCTGCTCCTGGAGTAGGGTGGGCCATAGCCACATAGCAGGGTCCATAGTGACTGCGCTCTGCCCTGCCCCCAACCTAGAGATGGCCCTCTTGCCCTAGGCCTTGCTTAACTCTGGGGGGCTGGAGTCTGAGCTGATACATATGCTGCCCCTTCCCCCTCAATCTGCTGTAGGTGGGAGCAGGGGGGAGGGCACCACAAAGGAACAGGGACACATACAGGTCAGAGGGTGGCTGTAGAGAAGACAGGAGTGCAGCAGTGTTCCGAAGGAGGCAAAGGAGCTGAAGAAGTCAAGAAGATGATGAGGGAGGGGGAGGGGTCCAGGGTAGTGGAGCCTCTCACTGGGGTCTTGATCCTGGGGTACAAGCGCAGCACAGTTATCATCCTCACAGGAGACAACGGCTGTCCTGGAATCCTGGGAGCTGGTATCTTAGATGGGGGCTCAAAGGTAGCACCTCTTTTCCTTTACGCCCCCACCTAGGGTTTCAGCTCCTAGGCCCTCAGCTTCACGGACACTGGAAAAGACACGAAGCAAGGTGTGCCTGTGCATGCCTATAATCCCAGCACTCGGGAAACAGGAAGGAGGATCACCATGAGTTCGAGGTCAGTCTGTTCTACATGGTGACTTCAAGGTCAGTCTGAAGTTCATAGCGAGACCCTGTCTCAAAAAAACAAAAAAAAGAAACAGAAAAAAGACATAAGGGGCAGCTCTCGGCACATGCCTTACCCAACACTTACATAGGGCAGCCAGTTCCTGTGCCCCCCAGGTTACTGGCCCATGCCAACTCCACATGCCCTGTGTGTTTGGTCTCCCCTCTGCCCCTTCTCCTACCCCTTCCCCACTCATGGTGGTTTTTGCATTTGCTGGGACAGGGGTTCCAGAACAGGAGATTTGTGGGGCTAAGACAGGAAGTCAGTACCCCACTGGGCACGGGGGATTTCAAAGACTGGCCAGCCATGCAGGGGTGAGGCCTTCTCTACCCTCCATTGGCAGCAACTTGCCCCAGTGAAAGAGTGGCCATGGGTTACATGTCAGGGGGGCACCCACAAAAGCCTTTTATGGTGAACATTAGCCCAGCTGGAGATTTACAAAACCAGGCTTGGCAGATAAAAGCTGCCTCCCTTTGTGATGGCCAGAATGGCCATGGGCCCAGGGGTGTTGAGGACAGTGGGGTAGCATGACTGTTGGGTGAGAAGAGTGAGTGAGATGGGCCCAGGAGCCTTATCTGGAGACACAGATACTGAATCCCAGAGCTGGAAGGGGCTTGGGAAAGGGCTGTGGGCCAGCTCCCTGTGGCTGTCTCCTGGTTACCTGCAGAGCCTGGTATGCTGGTCTTGAGCTGCATCCGGGACTTTAGAGCCCTTAGGGGTGGCTGTGAATTACATAGTACTGGCTAGGTATTCCTCCTGTGGAGCTCTGAGATAAATCTGGGGATGTGAGTGACCAGGGGTGGTGATTGTGGAATTGCTCCTTTCCCTACCCAGCTGGAGGGAGAGACAGAGGCCCCTTAGCAGCCCTCATTATCACCCAGCCTTGTCTGCCGATGTCTACATCTGTCAGCCCTCCTCCCACCCCTGGAGATACCAAGGTGTGAACAGGGACAGGTCTACCCCGGGCCTGCCCATGTCAGCTCTGCTTTTGCTGTGGGCTTCTGAGACTGGTTCTTAGAACTGTTTTCTGGGGGCTCTTGAGTCTTGTGGGGCTTTGGAGGTAGGAGGAAAGAAACACATGGGGGCAACATCTTGGGGTGCAGGCAGACCAAGGCATGAAGCCACAAGCCAAGGCATCACTGCTCTGCAAGCAGGTGTGTGGCAGGTCCTGAGTCCCAGCCTTGCTGGGAGAAAACAAGGGCACCTTCCCAACCCACACACACACACACACACACACAC